GGGGGGGTTTACATTTTGGGCCTGTCACATAAACGGGGGGGAGGGTAATTTTTTAAAATACCCACTTTCGGGGAGGGGTAAATTTTTGATATGCCTGAATTGCTTGAAAATCACCGACTCCCCCTTAGGCATAAATAACGAACAGTCCCCAAGTGCCCGCTTACTGACGGAGCCATCTATCTTAACTGTGTTGCTCAGACAACGTTAGATATAAAATTGATTTTAAAGGTAGGGCAAAGCTTGCTTGATAGCCTCTTGGAAGGAGACCAAGGGGAGGAAAATCAGGTGCTCAACATTTCGTTCTCTTGCGCCCGCGGTGTTCAACAAACCTCCTACTGGGTTAGTGTATGAAGGTTTTATTTTCAGACAGTTTACTGTAATTGATGTTGGTTGAACTACATCCTTGCCAAACAGCTTGAATCACGAGATCTGAGTCAGCTCGACAATCTGCTCACTCTCAACACGCCAATTTTATAAGAGCGAATTAAGGTGTTTATATGCAATTGAACCGAACAAGAAACGATAAACGAAGAATGTATTTTTAGGAAAAGAAACTTCTACAGCAGTTACTGTTCACACAAACACAGTCTGGCAGCGGTTTTACAGCCTCGGAAATAGCAGGCTCACACAATGAATACGAAACCCATTTTATTACAAAGACAACCTTCGAATCTGTTTTACAGTACTTCTTTACGCTGTTGTTCATCACTTGTTTTAATGCCAGCTTCTTATAACGCTGTTTAGCAAAGCCATTGCTCTCTTGGTTTAGTGAAAGCCTAAACTATAACGTGAACAAAACCTACTTTATACTTAGAATCACTCAAGTAAATTACAATAAAGTTACAGCAAAACAAAAATATAAGTTGATATATAATGATATTAATAATTTTTAATTACAATTTTTCTTACAGGAAGTGAACTTTCATATCTCTGCGTTCAATGGAAGCAGAAAAAGCGGAACTGGCACGGTCCTGTTGCCTATGGAATTTTCCCTGGAGCCATCTAAAGTTCTAGCTGGAGATAAGTAGGAGCAGAAGGATAGAACTTAACACAGGAAAAAGAAATCGCTAATTAAAAAGATGCCCCTCGACACGAATGAAACAAATTAAACCATTTCATTTTCCAAAACCTACAAAATTGCAACACCAAAAATATTTGCCCTTTCTACTAAGAAAAATGCGAATCAAGGGAAAGAAAATGCGTTTACAAGCGTAAACAAACAAACAAACAAACAAACAAACAAGTAAACGAGGCACACAAAATGGAAAAGCGGAAATTTTGTGATGTGTGACCATTTTCATCTAGGAAATGGCATCTGATCAGTGACAAGAGGAATTTGGAACAGAAAAGAAATTACAATCAAATTTTAGAGGTGCAAAAATACATTTGATTACGGTCTGACACCGAATTGGTACAAAAAACGTACAAAGTAATTCCCTAATTCCACTTGCTTCCGCTTCACTTTCTTCTTCTAAGTCGATGGCCATAAAGTTTATTTGCGGCAAAAATTGAGCACAGTCGGCTTTTTACCAGCACAGTAGAGGTAGGTGCACTTATCTACGTGATGACCCCCAGACTGTTAAGAGAAAAAAAAAATTATCAGTAAGAATCGAGAATCGAAAGAAACTAAGCGGCTGTTAACATGGATGCCCGGGAGGGGCGGTACTCCTTATAATGGTCTATACGGGGAAGCTCCGCCCGAAAGGGGTACTTTTTTCATGCTTCAGGTAGAAATCTGTCATTTGGGTCTGTGAAAGGGTCCAAAACGGCTAACAGGTGAATTTTATGGCTTTATAAAGTCGAGAAAACGTTCTATTTTTGTGATTGATTCCTATTTAAACGACAGTGCATTTACAACTAGGTGTTAAGTTAAACTAGGAGTAATCGAAGCTTAGGAGAGTGCGTTCGATATGTTTGTTAGGCGTACAGGCGGGTAACAGCTGAGGGGGAAGATTTGATGGTTCTTGCGATAAATAAATATGATTATGGCATATTTTGAACGTAAGGCTTGCGTACAACGAAACTAATAATATGGTTTGGTGTCAAATGCTTGTAATCGGAGGAGACAGTGGCCAGAGAGCGTCGGGCGTGTAAATAGAACATTTTAACTTTTGTTTTACTGGCGCGATTACAGGGCGCAGTTGTTCAAAGGACGATTAGCGCTTAACCCGGGATTCTTTTTCTTTCTTCAAAAACATTTCTTCGGATAATTTTCTCTGTTATTTTTGAGAGCATCCAATCATCAACTTGTCGACAAAATGAATTCAACTGAATTTACTTTTTTAAAAGCTTTCACATCTGAATTCAAATTTCGCACTAATCCTGTCAAAGCCTTCAGTGGAATGTGTGTGCGGCTTACGTCAATAACTTTTCCAGTAATTTGGTCGAGCGTGTTGATTTCAGTGAGTCGAGAGTGGCGCTACTGTGGGCTGGTTTATAAGTTTTTCCTAATAAATAACATAGAGTTAAAGTGTTCGTTTGTCTGGTGCCGAAAATATTACAAGTCATGATCAAATGGCGCCGCCGAGCTTCACATCTCGGTAGATTTACTTTGTGGCACAACGGTTGCCGAGCTACACAACTCAGTAGATTTACTTTGTGACACAAAGGCAGCCGAACTAAACCAGGTTTGATGCATGCACCAGGAATGGAATCGCTCACATTTTCCAAAGACGGTGACGGCGAACCATGCTGAAAATTATGAAGGCTTAATCCTAAGTAAAATTTAACAGCGAACTTCTGAAAGATGAACGCTTTGGAAGATTCAGCAAACACAGATCGATGTACGCTTTACAAAGATTCAGCAAACTTTTTAAAAGATGAACGCTTTACGAAGACAGAATATCAGACCTCAGCAAACCTTTGAAAAGATGAACGCCGAGGACACACGAAACACCACATGAGTTGGCGCGTCAAAGTGAGACAAAACGTAAGCAAGCACTTCAAAGTGAGGCAAATGTGTGTCGACGACGACGAAAATGCAATCTCAAAATAACCTCCCTTATTAATTGCACAGGATACCCCTTAAGGCACAGAACACCCAACACAAATTAAGGGTTGCGAGAGATGCAAAGTTCTAAACAAGGTATGTGGAAGGGGTACCTTTTTCATAAAAAAAAAATCGTATATAAAAAGGTAAGGGGTTGGACCTCTGGGCGGAGCCGCCCCGTACAAAAATTTGTTGAGCACCCTCGTCCCGGGCATGGATGGGGAATTGAAAACCCTCATGTTTAAAATTTTTGATAACCAACGATGTAGATTTACTCTTTATGCGTTATACAATCACTTACTGAGAGCTCGTTATACTGTTCGAGCGGATTTGTCTTAAATGTAAAGGAAATCCTTCATACCAGGATGATCATTGGGATGCCCGTCAGGGCAACGCCCAATCAAGAATTACCTTTCATCTATGTCGTGAAAAGACAAAATGGCGGACGAAACTCCCAGAAGGCTTTACGTGCCCCATTCCCCCATCAATGGAGCTGATTTTGCGGGGAGGAAACGGGTCATTTCAGGTCGTCTGGCGAACACATTTAGAAGTCGATTTGAAACGAACACAAAATTATTGGGCGGAGTTATTGGCCCTATACTATATCCACGCCATAAGATTATCTAAATACGGTATTCGAATGAGGAAGTTAACCTGCGCGCGTGGCAGCTGCAAAAACAATACCCTCCCACGGTTTCCAGGGGAAATGCTTCAGCTTGTTGCAATTCTCTCCCTCCGTTTTAAACGTCTTTCCTTTTAATACTGGTATTTCCGGTAAGATGAGATTAGTCACGTTAGTACTGTCATACTATATTTTTGGGGGCATAGGGATAGGAGAAGGAGGTGAGTTGTGGAAATGTTCCAGTTAAAAATAATGCTAATCGTTTCTTGCTTCAAAAGGCTATTCCCATCAGGAGAAGCTAAACACTTAAGCCGGTAAAAAGTGTAATTACAGTCGACTCCCGATAACTTGAACCTTCAAGGGAAATCGAGAAAAGCTTCGAGTTATCCGGAGTTCGAAGAAAATAGCCGAGAGAAAGGTAAAAAACAGTTTTTACTGCACAGTGAACATTTTAATCATATTTAATTGTAGAAATGTCAAGTGAAAATTAAAAGATACTTCTAGATTATAAATCAGAACGTAACGTAACAAAAGATAGCCTAAATAGAGCATGCGTTTTATTGTTTTGAGAAGAAAAGCTGCTTCACGTTAGCCTGTAACAATCAACATCAGCCTCCACTCAGAAACTATACTCCTACAACACGTCAATAGGAAATCCAAAATTCAGTGTTTCGGACGCCAGTATACGGCTTTTTTCCGGACTTTTTAAGGGCTCGAAACATGGTTCGAGTTATCGAAGGTAAAATTATATAGAAAATGACCTGAGGGGAAACGAAAATTGGTTCGCGTTAGCGGGAGTTCGAGTTATCGGGGGTTCGAGTTACCGAGGGTAAAATTACAGTGACATGTATGACGGACTTCCAGGGGAAATCAGTTTTGGTTCGAGTTAGCGCGAGGTTCGAGTTAGCGAGGGTTCGAGTTATCGGGAGTCGACTTTATAATCTATACTTTCCAAAATAATAAACCCCTGCATGGCCCAGTCGGCAGCCCAAAGAATCCCAACTATATGAGGGTCTTATTTTGAAGCTCTCTACTTTCTCCTTTTGCAATTGTGTAATTATGAAGCACTTGGGAGTTCTTAAGAACTCGTTTGAATGTGTCTGTGCGATCCGTGCGATCTGTGCGAGGTGGGGGCTCTAACGACTGCGCCATTCCTGCTCTCACGGGAGATAGCAAGGGCGAATAGGACTTACCTTATATTCCTTTCCTTTGTAAACGCAACCACAATTGCTGTTAGCCTCACATTCCCCTCGCGAATTCAAAATCTCGCCTCTTTTACAGAAGCAACCTTCCTTGCACGGACCGCTGCAAGATCCCGAAGGGTTGACACATGTCTTTTCACAGCCGCATGAATATTCTTTTCCTTTTCTCTCACAGTATTTCTCTAAAATAAAATAAAAAAATCGTGATGCCACAAGTAGTAATAAACTACTCTCTGAACAAACTCTGATGTGGGGTTCAAGATGAAGAGAAAGCTAGAAAGCACGAGCAGACATCACCAGCAAGAAAAAAAATGTGCCACAAGGACAAAGGAAACAGGTAAAAAGAAAAGGGACACTTGCGCGGGCAGCTTCATTTAATGCGGTGCTTTGTGTACATGCTATCAGAAGCTACGTATTTACCACTTGTATGGGAACATTCTTAGCCTGTTCACAGACGTTTTTTCTTCTCTCTCTTTCCCCGAAAATTTGGGGCTCAGCGAGCGAGGCGTGCGCGCGATTTTCCTTTCACACGCGCTTTCGACGATCTCTAAAGAGAGAATAGAGGGTCTGTGAATGGCTAGAACATTTTTAGCTCCCTGGAGACCAAAAAACGACAAGAAAAACTAATACCTTGACAAATCTCGCAGCATTCTCCTTCAGGTAAAACGGTCTTTCCAGACGGGCAGCTGGTTACTGGGCAGGAAGGGGGATTACAAGTGGATTGACCATCCTGAAACAGCAAACATTGTATTAACTCTGTACTGACGACGTTTTTGACTCAGTGGAGCAAAAAAGACAGAAAGAAGAATGAAGAAAGGAGACGAGAGAAAGAAAGAAAGGCATCAATTAAACGTGTGGTGGAATGAACTACTAGGCAAGTCTATTCATTTCATTCATTCTATGTAAGATTAACGTAGGTCGTGTGTAGATATCGTATTTTTGCTTTTTTCACAGCTATATATCCAAAGATAACCTTAAAATCAGTGAAAGGGGTTTGGCACTGCCATGCCTTTATCTTAAGATGTTCAGACAAGAACAAACAACCCACAAGAGTCAATACAGGACGAAGGAGGAGAGGAAAGAAGGAGAAAAAGAAGAAAGAAAGAAAGAGCTTCATTTTCATCAAAAGGGAGTAGCAGCTTAGCTTGGGAATACAACCGTCTCTCCTCGCTTATCGCCGCGGCGAGGAGCAAGGAGTGACTGTTGTATTCGAAGGCTAGTAGCAAACGAACACGTGCTTTCTTCCCTTTCTCAGTACCTTCGCGAAAACTCACAGCCTGTTACATCTTATCATTACCTGACAGCGGCAAGTGTAGCAGGTGTTATTAGACATTTTCCAGGTCTCGTCTTGGAAATACTGCTGGCCATTATCTACGCAGACTTTACACGTGTAAGTACAAGTCACATGTCCAGACTGAAAACATAACAAAAAAAATTAAGTAGTTAGTTAATCACATAAGTAAATAAATAGAGACTGTGGACAGGCTCAATTAGTTCATAAAAAAAACGAAATATTTTTAATTGTATTTATACCAAGAGAGATTGTTGTTGTTGTAATCAAAGCAACAACTTTGGCCAATCACGGTACACACAGATGATGAAATGAGCCAATCAGATCTCCAAGCATATACATTCAGCAGCTGCCAAGCGCGGGAAAACACCTGCCAGCAAGTCTTGGCCAAATTAAAAAAATTTGGGGCGAGTTTTGAGTCAATCAAAACCCACCCTGAAATCCGCTTTATAATGCGCTCACTCACCTCGCATTTACAAACGCTGCAGTTGTTTTTGGTCCACCGAGCTCCGTCGTCATACCTAATGCCGTCCATCACGCATTTCTTTTGCTGTAACGCGTCAGAACATTTGCACTGCATTGGAACAAACGGCAGCATGGTTGGTTGAGACTCTCAAAAGGGTTAGCACGTACAGACTGCAGTACAGCAGTATTATACCATGGTCAAAATGCGAGCTGTGCGGGTGAAAAATAAATAGGGAGGAGGGAGCCATTCTGCCGGCCGTTCTCGTTTTACGAGGAGCGGTTAATTTATAAGAAAAACCGAGTGATTTGCAGTCTTCTGTTAGCTGTAAAACGGCTAAAAAATTGGAAAACTGTTTGTAAAAGGTTTGCTTTGTCACAGTTTAAAAGGAATACTCTTGTCCTGAAGGCTGGTTTTCACCACTGTCGGAGTCGGAGTCGGAGTCGGAGTCGTAAGCGGAGTCGTAAGAGCACTTATGACCTAGTGAAAATCAAAAATCGGAGTCGTAAGCGGCGTCATAAGCGCGACGGAATCGGAGTCAGAAGAATCAGAACGTTTCCATTTCTTCCGACTCCGTCGCTTACGTTCCGCTAATGATCTTGTGAAAACCAGATTGTCGGAGTCGGAAGCAGAAGCGGAAGTAGCCTGCGTGGCAGGCGTTTGAAAGGAAAGGGAAAGGGAGTTTTAGGCGCGAGAGAAACGCAAGGAGCGCGCGAGGAAGGAGGGAGGGAAATGCTGTTCCCCTCCTCCCTCCTCCCTCGCGCGTGGTCTCGCGCCCTAATCCCCTTCTCCTTCCCTTTCGAACGCCTACCACGCAGGCTAAAGCGGAAGGATAAACCAAGGACAAGGCACGTTCCCACGTTTTGTGATTGGTTTGGCTCTTCTGCTCCTGCTTCCTACTCCGACAATCTGGTTTTCACTAGATCATAAGCTCTACGCTTCTGATTACGACTTTGACTCCGTCGTTAGTGAAAACCAGCCTTTAGCCTTCCGCGCACACGTTCTTAGGGGTTCGACACGCGTTCCGGCTCCACTGACGAACCCCCAAGAACGTCTGCGTTGGGGGCCTATGTGATCAGCCCGATGCCTAAAGGATTTGAAAGATACCGCATTAATTCGAATAAGCGCCCAACCTCAAATTAGCGCCCACCTCGAATAAGCGCCTCCCCTAAAGGCAGAAAAAGTTAACAAGCTCCCAGCCTCGAATAAGCGCCCACCCTACCCCACTCCCTCCCACAAAAACTCCAATGAGAGATAACAAGAGACACTCCCGAAGACGGAGTTTTCTTCAGGGTCTTTTACAGAAACCTTGCTTTGTTACATCTTCTCTTTTTGTTATTAGCATTTACTGTTTTGTTTCAAAATATACTACCACGCTTGCTGAGAATGGAGAAAATTTAATGAGCGCCCAGCCTCGAATAAGCGCCCGCCTCGAATAAGCGCTCACTCTCAAGGTCCAAAAAATTTAATAAGCGCCCAGGGCGGTTAATCGAATAAATACGGGAACAGCTTTTTTCCTTCAGTATCAGGGAGTGTCAAAAGATTTCAGTTAGGAATTGCTTCCTTCAGTGGTGACTGACGATTTTTCCTTTTGGTTTTGGAATTTTGTGAATAAGAAAACCATTCCAGTTTCAGATCCACATCAACTTTTCCGTTTCTGGTTTTGCTGTATCTGCTCACTGACTGGGAAGAAGTACAATATCCGCAAAGTTTTAAGTTAGTTTACAAGGATATCCCAAATGTACTTGAAAATTAGAGTTGGGAGGTGAACTTTCCCTTTACGATAGTTAAGGTTTGGGGTTTTAAAGTTTTCATCATTTGGCCTTTTACCGCAGGTTTAAGGTTTTCAATCTCGTCAAATTACCGTAGTAAGAGGAGGACAATCGTTGAAATTTCCTCTCATAAGCTTCACATCTTGAAGATCTCCCTGGAAAAAAGAAAAGAAATTTAATCATCATAAACGTGTCATTGAGCAATTGACCACTCCAGAAAATACCATAACATACCATGATGCTCTTTGTTTGTCACCCCAAAATTTTGCATAAGCATTGTCTTCAGTTTCTCTTAGGAATTAAAATGGCCCCAAATGAAACTAAAAACAACACTTACGCAAAATTTTGGCGTGACAAATAAAGCGCATTATGATATGTTGTGGTATTTTCTGGAGTAGTCGATTCACTTCCGAATTTTTGCCTGCCAAAAGTTTCGGCGTTTAGGACATTTTACCTTGAATTTATCTATAATAGTAATTTGCCCCTCTCTCCCCTTTGATAATTCTTGAGCGAGACGGAGTTGAGCATTTGCGGGAAAGTCAGCGATACCAGGTAACATGTCCACTTTTGCGGGGTTGACCGTGTCGTTAATGTAAATCCTAATAACCCGCTCGCCGTCTTGCAACCGTACTGCGACTTTGTTCCATTTGTCGTACTCCACCGTATAGCGGTCAGATAAAGCTTCGATGGGTCTGGGATCAGACCCTTGTGTGTGCCTCACTGAAACTTCGACCTTAAGGCCACCGGCATTGACACCTCTGAAAATAAAGCGACATTTGTTTACATCACCACTAGACTATAAACAATCTCTTACTTTTCTCAGAAACAACAGTGAGAACGAACAAACTTGGAGTATACCCTTTTGCAAGAAAACGACACGCAGAGGGTGTTTTTCCCACGCTCGCCCCAGGCGATCGTGTGATTCAACGGCTTTATTATGACGTATTATTTCTGAAACTAGAAATACGTGTATCGCAGAGCCTTCCGAAGCTCAAGGGAGGAAGCCCGTAAAGTATCAGGAATGGGAGGGAGGAGGAGAAATAGAGTAAATTGTGAAACTAGCACTATTGGAAGCAGAAATATACTCAATCTCCTTTTGGCTGGAGTAAACTCCAACCGAGTGCCTTGGCTTTAAAAAAGAATTGGCATTTAAATGAGGACAGTTTTAGGCTATGTCACCATATTTGAAAGAAAGAGAGAAGAGGAAGACGTTTCAGTACTGAGAGGAACGCATTTTTTTTGTAGTTGGGAGAAATTGGTAGAGTATTGAATAAAAGTGAGCAGTTATTTTGGGGTTTTATGTATAATTACAATGTGATTTTAGCCTATTAGAGGAATACCAGGCCTACACTTTCAACCATGATACCAACGTTTGGCGTATTTTCAAGTGTGGATAGTGCCGGGGGAAGCTAGTCTGCGCGCAAGCTCTCCATTTAGGGGAGTCGCGAGAGGTCGCGCAAGACCAGCATGCGAAAGGACCGCTAACGCGTTCTCTCGCTTTTCGCTTCGCTTAACATAAATGGAGAGCTTGCTCGCAGACTGGGAAAGTTAAGGGCCGGGGAGGGGGGCTACCATATTTTTAAAAGTGACGGGGATGCTCGTGGATAATTAAAAATAAACCCCTAAGGAAGACCAATGTGGGTGTGGCTGAAACTTAACGTGACTCCTGCTGACCCCTAAAGGAGATTTCCGTTTTCTCAATGTCACGGTAGTTTTTGTAAATTTCTTCATGAACAGCCCAAAGCGATACCAGAATGGGCAAATATAATGACATTCCGCCCCAAACACCCTAAGTGAGGCTAAAATCTGCAATGTGCACCCTAGTGAGACGACGAGCATCCAAGCCCTCACTTTCATATGGGAGTGCCCCCCCCCCCCCCCGCGGCTTAATTTTTTTCCCTTCCTCTCTTTTTCATTCACAACATTTTACCTTTTAAAAAAAGGTAGAGTGGAAAAGCCCCAGTCGCAACTACTGAAAACTCATAAATCCCAACGACGCCTTTTCCTCGAAAAAATACAACCAATGAAGATATCGTGAGTTAAACTGAAATGAAGTGTGAATACTTAAGCTCCCGGCGGAGGGGGGGGGGGGGGCACTCCAATATGAAAGTGAGGGCTTAGATGCTCGTCGTCTCACTAGGGGGCACATTGCAGTTTTTAGCCTCACTTAGGGTGTTGGGGGGGGAATGTCATTATTTTTGCCCTTTTTGGTATCGCTTTGGGCTGTTCTGGAAAAAATTTAAAAAAACTCCCGTGCTTTTGAAAAAAAGGAAAATCCCCCCCAAAAACCCTAAGAGAGGGTAGAATCAGACATGGGACCCCTGAGGGGGGCACGAGCAATCAAGCCCTCGCGTTCATAGTGGCGTGCCCCCCCCCCCCCTCCGCCGGGAGCTTAAGTATTCACACTTCATTTCAGTTTAACTCACGATATCTTCAGCTTGAAATACAGGTCATTTCCGTCTCCAGAGCTAATTGAGAGGATGGTATTGTCGTTAGGGTTATTTGTATCAAGTTTGACCCATGCAGAGACCCAAAAATCTTGACTGTCGTGAATAAGCGTGTTTGCGTTATTAAAAGCGTTCTGATTTGCACGGAGGTCTTGAGCTTGTGTGGTAAAGTGAAAGGCGCGGCTTTTGCTGTTTTGTCCCTGTGTTGAAGTGACGCCTTGTGGGAGAGATTTGTCAAGCAGTCCAACTTCCTTGAACATATCAATTTCTTGAACAATACCTGGGAATAAAAGCAGCATTTATAGAAACCTTCACATTCGAGATTTTTTCATTTTACTTTTTTCAACAGAAAAGTTAGCACGGTTATCAGTTTTCATTGAAGGAGGTTAGGCTCTCTCCCGATCGCAAAATGATGAAACTTCCAACGTTTGATGACCTGTTTCCGTTACTTGGACATTTTTACTTAAACATGTATAAGATAAATGACAGCTGGTTCACGCGTGCGCACTACTTAGTACTGAGAAAATAATTGTCCTCGTAGTCTTCCTTTTCTCAGACTCGAAAGGTCTCTTATTATTATGAACTCCAAAACTGCTCCAAGATCGTCATCCCACCAACTTTGCTTTTTCTAAAGGGGCTAGGATATTTCAGCACTTTTCATTCAGTTTGCTGACATACGATTTTAAGGGTTTATGCCTCCCACGTAGACGTGCTTTTGATTCGTCACGCGTTCAACCCCTGCGTGGGAGGATACTATTGGTTGATCTCAATAATTTTCTACGAACGTATGGCTTATGATGCTCGCCAATCTTTGACTTGATTATGTTTATTTTAATGCTTGTAAATTACGAAAACAAGTTTAATTTACCCCTCCCCTCTCTGCGCTTCGACCTTTGCGCCCAAGCTACGTCATATAAAAATCGTGACCTTTCTGCTTTTTTTTAGCCTGCGTAGTAAGCGTTTCCAATCGAGTTATTGCCCGAAAGTTAGAGCGGAAGCGAAAAAAAAAAACTAGCCTTTTTTCCAAGATGTATCCCATGTAATTATGTAAGAGTACTTTGCGTATACGTACACGCACAGCGCGCGATGACAGCTCCACAAAGCTGGCTCTTTTCCCAGGCTTATACGTACAATCTCGTAACATGCGAGCGTTGCCCATTTTAAGTTTCCTCCGATCCGGGATGTGTAAGAATTGATACTGAGACGATAAGAGAATAGATTTTAAAAGTCTGCGAGAGTGAAATTACTTTTCGGTTTCGGTAGACCTAATGTAAACAGCAATATAATCAGTCTCGCATTTACCTCTGTCATTAGCCTGACCGGAGTATTAACCCTTTAAACCCTAAGATCAAAATTAAAATTCTCCTTTCTCACCCCTATTCATTGACTATAAAAGTAGCGGGGAGAAGTTAATAAAGTATCAAGTAAATACATCTCGTGTGATCATGTCCTTAATTCTCATGACCACTCTGTTTCACAAAGCATTCCTATGACAAGGAGAAATTTGATGCTGATCACTCTTAGGATTTTAAGGGTTAAGCCCTAATTTAGACTACTTTGTCACGAAACGAAAGACAAATTCATTCGAAAAACGAATGCCATGACACGCAAAAAGCCCAATCCATAAAAGGGCACAATTTTTTTTATCCAATCAAGCATACAAAGGAATTGGAGGAAATTTCTGTAAATCAACGCAAAAAGGACGAATGATGTAACGTTTCGTTTCGCAGACCAGATTGAAGATCGGATGTGTTAGTATTATATTCCATGCCAAACACTATTTTAAGAAGTTGCAAAGTCACTGTCTAACAATTAAGTACTTGTGACGTATTTTTAAAAAACTGGTATAAAAAACAGATACAAAAATATCTTCATCGCGCAAAAAATTTAAAGTGAATAAATACGTGCAAATATTTCGGTCTTATAATAACGCAAGCGACTGAGCAGAGAAAATTTGTAGCTCCCGCAGCAAGCGTTCGGTGGAATTTCGATCCGTGGAACTAGGCACGCCATGTAAACTGGTCTAGATTTTATGTGATGTGGTAAAGCGGAGTAAAGCTTAGATTAATCTTTGAAGATAGACACAATGTTTGCTGGGAGTGATAAAACTGTAAGAGCGAGACTCAGAACTAAAGCTGATCGCAAGTGAAGTTTGTGGTTGCAAGTTCCATCATTTAATTTAGACACGAACAAAAATAAATCGAAACGCCTTCCTTTACAAAAAGAAGACCGTTATGAGGAAAATTTTAGCGCAATTCACTTGTAGAATATATTAGTATCAAAAAGTATGAACAAACAAGAATCATTGTTGAAACAGTATATGCCTAACAAACAAAGCTAGCTGCGCAATAGCAAACTCATGTTCTCTAAGATCTGCTTTGAAATTCCAAATAGTAATGCAACCCAAATGTTTCTCAATCATTAGAAAGTCGCAAAAGTGCGTGTTAAGAGAGGCTTTAATACTGGATGACTTGTTATGTCTGAAATTCAAACAAGATTGGGATTTCAGCGCGCACTAGACAGCGTCGACTACATATCGCGTCACAATCAGCGTAACTTCTTTCGCTTGCGCGTTTCGTTGGACTTACCAATGGTAAATGCTCCATTCGTAAGGAAAACCACCAGAATTGCCTTTAAAATCATGTCCCAAAACCGAAGCATTCTGACACAGGATAAGTGAATGCACACTTTGTATTAATCCTGAACAAAGGTCGAAGAAACGCAGAGCTCTTCTTATCTGTCCGATGAGTCAATAACAGGGTATTTATTTCATCAAACGCTGAGAAACATGAGACTTCGAGGCACACCCGTGCATTCTTTGTGACGTTAAACATGCACTGACACTTAAAAGAACAAAGAACATAATTTCCGATGTTTGAAGTTTAGTATCAAATGCTTTCACGCATCGTTGGCACCACTATGATCCAGATTAATGCCATGACGCAATTGAGCAAATACGAAAAAAATTATAGAAAACAGTCTGCATGAATATAGTGTTCCAGCTTGTCCTGAAATCAAGCGTTTGGATCCCCGGCGGGTACTCAACAAAATTTCATACTGGAAGGCTCCGCCCCGAGGTACAACCCCTTACCCTTTTATATACCATTTTTGACAGAAAATGTACCCCTTTTGAATGCCCTCTATTGACAAAATGACACCCATGAATGAACATACTAGTTTTGAACGCTGAATCTCTTTTAACTGCTGTATAAAATGCTACTGGGGTTACTGTCGTCACAGGAAGTCAAGAATCCTCAAGAATGCACTGGCAAAACTCACGGGATGATCACAGTTGAAAATCTCGGGGGGTACTCCCTGTAATGTACACGCGGATGCTGGACCTGGGGTGGCCGGGTTTTTAGCTCAGAGAAAAGGAAAATTGAGATATATAACAGTAAAAGAAAACCATCAGCGTAGGTATCAGTTAAAACATTTTTTAAGTACCCCGAAGAATTTGGTTCCATTTAAGTATTTCAGGAGGTTACACGGGGATAAAAGGTGCAGTTTTTAGTTTTGGACGTAACCAAAACATTTCCTTCGTTTTTCGACGGCACCTCGAGGTACTGCATTCCCCCAAAACTTTGTTGAATACCCCCCCGGAAAACATTCATTTTTCTGAAGGGTTTCTCTCTTTTGTGTTAACAGCAAGGTCCTTTCGCTGTGGATGATGTATTTTATTTTCTAGCGCTGAAATTGCTGAAACTGAAGCTCTGCACGAACGAAAACAGCCCCTTCCTCAAACTTATTACCCCTGATGGGTGGTAATCGCTAAAATGATGACGACATCCAAATCCGTGCTGTTTTAACTAAGACAAACGTTGTTGATCGGAGTCTCGGCTATTTTTGGGAGAACCACATCACGATTCTACGAATTCATCTTCTACAAAAGTCAATCTGAACCTTTACAAATCGATATTTTTTTGCAGACGTGACGTGTAACGTGTAACGTGCTCTGCATTATAAAATACCACTTCCATTTCCTGATATTCTGACGTTTGTCATATTTTTAGCCCACAATAGAACGTGCTGAAAACAAAAAGGAAATAAAAGGGTCAGGAACACGATCGGATCGGCAAATGATGTGGGAGTAAGAAATTTCTTGACCTGGAAGTGGAGACGTCTTGCGAAATTCTGATAAACAATTTTAAAAGTAACGCCAACGGAAAACAAGAAAGATGAGGTCACTGGCTCGAATAATGTAGGCTAGTTGGATAAGCGAGCGAGTGGAATACAGAGATACGCTTCGAAATGTTCAAACACTTTTACTGTCCTGGAGGGAAAAAATGTTGGGCAATGCTTTACACCAAATATCCCATAATACCTTATTCATTTGTCGGTATGTCATGGACGTTTCGAAACTTTCGGGAACGAGGAACGGGAATTGAAAAATAAGACAAAAACAAGAATGGGTAAACGGGTTACTCCTGTGAACAAGGGTAACCTCAAGTTTGGTTTTATCTTTTCCTTTCGCTGTGCTTCTTCCCCGTTCCTTATTTTCCGTTCTCCTTTTTAATAACATCCAGACACCACACCTTAGAAACCCACTGCGCCCTCTCCTGGATTGACGCTAGTACGCATTCACTAAAAGGCAAACGTAAACTTTCAATAAACTTTATTTAGTAAATGAGATAATTGCATACAAGTTGATATAATTCTCGACTGGCGATGAATTACCTTCATGAGTGTTTCCAGGTTTTATAAAAGACTGGCCAAATTGCCAGTATATACATCGGTTATATATATTTTAAAATATAAAAAGCAGTGGAAGAAATGTCATTAATTTTGTTATGCACAATATCGTCTCTTTGTCCGATGAGTCAATATCAGGGTATTTATTTCATCAAAAGCTGAGAAACATGAGACTGCGGGGCACACCCGTGCATTCTTCGTGACGTTAAACATGCACTGACACTTAAAACAAAGGACATAATTTCCGATTTTTGAAGTTTAGTAATGCTTTCACGCATCGTTGGCACCACTATGATTCAGATTAATGCCGTGACGCAATTGAGCAAATACGAAAAAAATTAAAAAATTATAGAAAACAGGAAGAAAAACAAGAAAACAGTTTGCATGAATATCGGTGTTCCAGCTTGTCCTGAAATCAAGCGTTCGGATCCCCGGGGAGTACTCAACAAAATTTTATAGTGGAAGGCTCCGCGCCTACCCCTGAACATACTAGTTTGGAACGCGGAATCTCTTTTAACTGCTGTATAAAATGTACCGTCTTATGAATATGATTAAATCATTAAACCAGAAAGTTAACTTGTCCATTACACAGCCATAAAGTGCGCCTAATAGCCCTTTTAGTTCCTTTCACAGACTGCAGAGATAGATTTCTCTCTCGTTTCAAATACTTAAACTAGTGAAACCCCAACCCTTTCATATATCTTAATGAAAAAGCCGTACCCCTTTCGGGCGGAGCCTCCAATAACATTACTGGGGGTACTATCGTCACAGGAAGTCACGAATCTTCAAGAATGCACTGGCAAAACTCACGGGATGATCACAGTTGAAAATCCCCGGGGGTACTCCCTGTAATGTACCCGCGGATGCTGGACCTGGGGTGGCCGGGTTTTTCGCTCGGAGAAAAGGAGAATTGAGATATATAACAGTAAAAGAAAACCATCAGCGTAGGTATCAGTTAAAACATTTTGTAAGTATCCCGAAGAATTTGGCTCCATTTAAGTATTTCAGGAGGTTAGACGGGGATAAAAAGTGCAGCCTTTAGTTTTTAACGTAACCAAAACATTTCCTTGGTTTTTCGACGGCCCCTCGAGGCACTGCATTCCCCCAAAACTTTGTTGAACACCCCCCGGAAAACATTCATTTTTCTGAAGGGTTTCTCTCTTTTGTGATAACAGCAAGGTCCTTTCGCTGTGGATGATGTATTTTATTTTCTAGCGCTGAAATTGCTGAAACTGAAGCTCTGCACGAACGAAAACAGCCCCTTCCTCAAACTTATCACCCCTGGTGGGTGATAATCGCTAAAATCATAACGACATCCAAATCCGTGCTGTTTTAACTAAGACAAACGTTGTTGATCGGAGTCTCGGCTATTTTTGGGAGAACCCCATCACGATTCTACGAATTCATCTTCTACAAAAGTCAATCTGAACCTTTACAAATCGATATTTTTTTGCAGACGTAACGTGTAACGTGTAACGTGCTCTGCATTATAAAATACCACTTCCGTTTCCTGATATTCTGACGTTTGTCATATTTTTAGCCCACAATAGAACGTGCTGAAAACAAAAAGGAAATAAAAGGGTCAGGAACACGATCGGATCGACAAATGATGTGGGAGTAAGAAATTTCTTGACCTGGAAGTGGAGACGTCTTGCGAAATTCTGATAAACAATTTTAAAAGTAACGCCAACAGAAAACAAGAAAGATGAGGTCACTGGCTCGAATAATGTAGGCTAGTTGGATTAGCGACCGAGTGGAATACAGAGACAAGCTTCGAACTGTTCAGACACTTTTACTGTCCCGGAGGAAAAAATGTTGGGCAATACTTTACACCAGGAATGAAGGAAAAAAAGATAACGCCTGATCTCATCCCATAATACATTATTCATTTAGCGTTATGTCTTGGACGTCGCGAAACTTCAGGGAACGAGGAACGGGAATTGAAAAATAAGACAAACACAAGAATGGGTAAACAGGTTACCCCTGTGAACTGGGGTAACCTCAAGTTTGGGTTTATCTTTTCCTTTCGCTGTGCTTCTTCCCCGTTCCTCATTTTCAGTTCTCCTTTTTAATAACATCCAGACACCACACCTTAGAAACCCACTGCGTCCTCTCCTGGATTGACGCTAGTACGCATTCACTAAAAGGCAAACGTAAACTTTCAATAAACTTTATTTAGTAAATGAGATAATTGCATACAAGTTGATATAATTCTCGACTGGCGATGAATTAACTTCATGAGTGTTTCCAGGTTTTATAAAAGACTGGCCAAATTGCCAGTATATACATCGGTTATATATATTTTAAAATATAAAAAGCAGTGGAAGAAATGTCATTAATTTTGTTATGCACAATATCGTCTCTCTCAAAATTGTACTTAAATGGATTGCAATATTTGATCATTTTCATCCAACATTTGCATCACAATATAAAAAAAGAAAGTTTATTAGCCACTCCATTACGAAAGAAACGTGACACTAGGAAACAAAGAGGGGTAATCAGTTAAGTACGAGGAGAGAAGATATTTCCAGAAAATTGTTCCTACTCAGAATTCTTTTAGAAATTCGTGTTGTTTGTTTCATCTTGAACCAAAAAGTGGTCCTCCAGCTTTCCGACAATATCGCACCTCTTAAATTTGTCTTCTTTTAGTGTCTTGCAAAAGCTATATACTGTTAGGTCAGGCTTTGACATCATGATAAATTCCAAGACATCGTTTCCGGGTTCCCTGGAATTCTCTAGCGCTCCTATTTGGACCTGTGTCATGCCGTACTCAGCAGCTACTTTCTTAAAGCCTCCTAGCCCAAATTTTATCTTTTGGAGTAGCAGGGCAATTTCATCTCTCGTGTTAATATCCAATTCACGCAAACGTTTGGGTCCTGAAAGAGAAGAGGTGAAAGGCTGGTGTTAAATTTAAGAACAGTCAACTCTTCTGATTGCTAACACCCGCGGGTGCAACCTCGTCCCCAGGGCTTTTCCCTTAAAAAATGAGTAAAAGCCCTGGGGACGAGGTTGCCGCGGGTGTTCTTCTTTTATGTAGCCATACAACGACAAGGGGACTGGAGCGGAAGTGTGTCCCGAAGTGGTCTGTGGGATCGTTACTGGGAAAGCGCCGGTCAGCTATTGGCCAATTATTTTCCCTGTCCCCAGTAAAAGACCCAGAAGCCTCCCTCCCATTTCGGAACATAGACCTCAGTTCACTCACTCATTCCATTTCGAGACTGGGGTATAACATCCAGTGTTGCGCAGATGGACTCTTTGCCTTCATTAAATGAATCCTGATATTTCACGTAGCACGTATAACTGCCAAAATCACGCAGCTCTACTACATCCAGGACAAGAGTCGAGTCATTCTTTCCAGGTATTGCAACGCCGTCCTTACGCCACTGATAAATCACATTTTCCTTCTTTTTGTCAACCTTGCATTTGAACTCTACTCTTGTTCCTTCCTTTTCTGTTTGAGACTTTGGATGCATGGTAATATTTATCGGCTCTGGAAAAAAACAAACAAAAAAAAACGTTTGGGACTCTATGTATATAACTTCTTCCCCTGAACAGTCACAAAAGGACGTGATATGGTCAAGCACAAAATATTATATCCAAAAGAACACTAGGAAAATTACACATTAGGGAAACTCTACCCCTAAAACAAATTGATGTTTTAGTGTACAAACCCCCTCTACGGACATTTTGAAATATGTGATGTCAAGTAGTTGCCGCTGGCGCAGTAAACAATGGTTGCTTCTAAGCAATAGAGTGTCGTCATAATTATTCAAAATGGCGGAACGCAGGCACTTTAACAGTGAAAAGAAGGCGACATTTATGTCCATTTGTTGCTTCTTTCAAGGGAATTGGAATATAGACTTCATCCCTGAGGAAATGTCTCTTTATTGCACAGCACAAAGGAGATTGCGAAAAAAAAACATTACACAAAGTTGTAACAGGATCTCCTCGCGCGGAAACCTACCGGCCTCTGTCCCGTTCTGTGGTATTTGGTCAAGCACCTGAAACTGAAGGGTAAATCATCGCCTCAGTTGAAAATATAATACTAGAAAAATGTAAAACAGCTTTAATATGGATTAGCACAGTACTCTTACACGCAAATAAGCCCATATACTAGTAGCGCCATTTATACGAGGAAAAATAAAACGTGTCCTAAATAAGACGTACAACTTAATTCCCGTATAAACTGTACATTTCGTTATATTTCGTACACAAAAGGGGATGGTAAGCACGCGAGCGGCGGGCGGCAAAGCAGAGACTGCTCGTGGTCTATAGTTTATTAGTCAAATCTTTTTCGTAATAAGAAACTCCTTAAGTACTGTCAATGTAATTAACTGAGAACAAACCACACTCAAGGGGCATCATTTTTCAGCCGTGGGCTGTTTGCAAGATATTCTTATGAGCACTCTCATAGCATCGACTTGACTTCTTCAAGCAGGGCCTTTTAATACCACTAACCTCCTCACTAAAGAGGTCTAGCATCACTTGAGGATGTGGCCATGAAAGCTCATACCATAGTCTCCTTACTTCTTGAACTAAGTTATCGGCGACATTTTGTTTACAGGGCCTTACCGTATGTTTCTCCGGCCAGCTTCTATTTTTCGACCTCCACTGACGAGAATGGAAATATCCTAAATTTGTTCAAAGAAAAATGAATTAAGAATTTCTTCCTCTTTTAACTTGTCATAAGGAAAGAAGCTGGGAAATGCGGAAAATGAGTTTACATGACTGTTAGGCAGTTAGTTGATCTAAATGTTCCTTACTTCCTTAAAAGAGCGCCGCGGCTAGTATTCATTCTTTCAATTTGTCAGTACGCTTTTTTAAGCGAGGTCCAAGCAACGCCGGAAACAATTTACGTTCCTGAGAAACTGCCCACCTACCCCTCCCCTAAGCCAACATTAACACTAACTTCTCACTTAGAGAAAAATGTTGACTGAAGGGAGGGGTAGGTGGGCAGTTTCCCGGAAACCCTAAATTAATCCTCAACGTCTTAAGAGAAGTAGTAGTTCCGTTTTGCCCTCGTTCTTTAGTTTGGAATGCAACTGCTATGATGCACATTGAAGGCGCTCTTTTTCTGCTTAAAATGATTTTGTGCCAACACTGAGTTTACTTGCCTTCTGATTCATCCAGTTGATCTGAATCCTACAAGAAAAACAGAACAGATATCACCTATTTTATGGTAACTCAATAGGTATTACTCACCAGAGAAATTATCAAGATAATATTGTACTCATCCTGTTAATTCCAACGTGATAAGGGGTCTCGAATAGAGATGATTTTACGAACATTTTTGTCTCATCAAACATGAGTTGATCAAAAAAATTTACCCCAAACCCCACGTTCAAGAGAACGAAGAAATATTTGCTATTGTTAATACGACTGGTTTTACATTGTCATAAGAAAGATCCTCTGAGAAAGATCCTGCGAGAAAGTTTACTCTTGAAAGACTAAGAGGAAAAATTTAAGGGCGCGGGTTGCGAGAGAGAAAGAGAAAACGAACGAAACCTAGGGCTTCCTGTAATGCGCTCTTCTTATTTTCTTCCCTGAGACGAGAACGAACCAATTTAGTGGGTAGAAAGCTTTTCTTTTTCTAGACTATCAGTTACACTGGTTAAA